TCCATGGGACTCCAGGGCTGTGCAGGCAGCAGGGAGCTAGTGATGGGAGCTACCGAAGAGCCGGCATAGCATTATCTGCTCCGAGAGTGGAAGGCTCCTGGTCAATCTCCTGGCTCTGACCCCGAGCAGACAGGCTTCTCAGGGCTCCCCGAGGGGCCCTGACAAGTGACATCTCAGCTGTCACCTGTTCTCGGAGGCCTCTCTTAGTGTCCTGTTTAATGATGCAACTAACTCCCCTAGCACACTGCCCTCCTTCCATCTGAGATTGCCCCCATTGCACTTACCACCTTCAGACACCCTCCACCCATCACCCGTCCTCACCTATTAGAGAGGCAGCCCCATGTGGGCAATGTAGGCCCTAGTCCCTCCTGCATGCCGCTGCACAGCCCTGGAGTCCCATGGACAGCTCCCTGTTGAACGGGGAGAGTTGGGAGCCACAGAGCTCTGGTCTAGCCTCCCTGGCACCTCGCTGGCTACCGGGCTTGGCAGCACCTCAGCCTCTGAGTGGAAAATCTCTGAGGAAAGAGAAGTGCGCTTCTTTCCTCTGCCCTCACCCTTGCCAGGAGCCTGGGACGATTTGGACGGTGCCTTCTATCCGCCTTGCCCCAAACCATCACCATCCCTGCATCTTGGAGAGGAACACGGGCAAGGGCAATGTCACTCATGGAAGCTCCACAGCCGCCTTGGAGTCCCCACGGACACTGAGTTAGGGGACTCGGAGCCCCTGCTCCTGGGGGGACAACTGAGCTTCTTACGGGCTTCTGGTGACAATGTCTCTGTTGATCAGTCAATCCGGGTGGCGCCAGGGTTATGAACCAGATGTGTCCCTGTGACTTTAAGATTCTGTGGGTAAGCTGGACCACAAGCATAGGGCTCTTATCTAGCCTTATGTGGAGCCCTGGTGGCCTAGTGGCTGTGCACTGGGCTGCTAACTGCAAGGTGAGCAGTTTGAAACCACCAGTCGCTCCACAGGAGAAAGATGAGGCTTTCTGCACTCATAAAGAGCTACCGTGTTGGAAACTCACGGGGGCAGTTCCACCCTGGTCCTATAGGGTCGCTGCGGGCCGGCATCAACTCCGTGGTGGTGGGTTTTGAGTTTAGTGCCAGAAATGGCTGGAAGGGGTTTCCACGATTTAAAAGCTGCACACGAGGCAAGGGGAGGGGCTGTGGTGAGGAATCGGCTGCAAGTAAGTTAGCGCAACCATTTCCAAATCTCAAAACCAAACCCACTGCCGGAGAGCTGAGTCCAACTCCTAGCTCCGTCCTGTGAAAGGTTTCCGAGGCTGGGAATCTTTACGGGCACAGACAGCCTCATCTTTCTCCCACTGCGAGAGGCTGGTGGGTTTGAACCTTCAACCTTGCAGGGAGCAGAGAGTGCCATCAGGGCTCCTCCATCGTCTCAAAGGGAGGGCAGAAGTACATAATGCTACAGAGCAGTGATCCATGCCTCCGGGCTATGGAGCTGGAGGAGAATATTGGAAGTCCTGGGGACCAACCGACCTGTCTGGGAAGCAGTACAGCCAGAGAGCCCCTCAGGGGCAGGGGTGGCGAGGCTTCGTCTCGCGTACTCTGGGCAGGCTGTCGGAGAGACCGGTCCCTGGAGAAGGATGTCATGCTTGGTCAAGCAGAGGAGCAATGATACAGAGGAAGACCCTCAAGCAGATGGAGGGACACAGCGGCTGCCGCCATGGGCTCGGGCAAGGGACAATTGTGAGCATGGTGCACGACCGGGCAGCGTTTCCTTCTGCTGTGCACAGGGTGGCAATGGGTCAGAACAGGGTCGCGATGGGTCGGAACCAACTGGATGGCACCTAACCACAACAATAAAGACCAAGTGGGACTCGTCCCAAGCTGAGCGTTCCTGACCCCGGGGTGCCTGTACAAACCTTGCTTGATGTGTGCGTAAAGACCTCCTTTTGAAGATCTAGTTTCACGGAGTCACGTTGGACCCACACCCAGCAGTGCCCACGGCCCCTCTGCCCCCCCCCTTCAGCACTATGCCAGGGGGCCACTGGGAACCGTGAATTCACCAACCCCAAGCGGAACGGTGCAAAGAGTGAGGCCCTGGCCGACAGGGTGCCAACGGAACGGGAAGAGGGGCACCGGCGATCCGGGTGGCTGGGAACACATCTGAATATTGATTTGGAGGTTAGGAACACATTTTGGCGAGTAAGTGGATTTCACACATAAAAAACCCGCAAACACTGAGGACTGACTGTCGCTACAAATTCCTGGCTGGTATCCACCCGGGCAGCCACTGTAAGGGGATCTGGGCATTTGATTCCATTTTGGCCGCACACCAACCTTAGCCCGAAACCCAAACCCTAAGCCACTGCCAGAAGGTCCGTTCTGACTCCGAGCCACCCCGTGGGGGTCCACGGAGGTCGACCTTGGCGGAGTGGAAGGCACCATCTTTGTCCCTCAGAGCGGCTGGTCGTTTTGTGAACTGCCGAAGGGCTGATCTTTTGATTGGCAGCCCAACTAGTCACCCACTATGCCCCCACCCCACCCCACCCCTCCCGGGGCTCCTTTCCAACCTTATGCCATGGGCATTGCACCCTCCATTTCACAGATTAGGAAACCCAGGCTCAGAGCGATTCACTGACCTGGCCAAGGTCTCCCCAGCAGCGGGGAGCCTGACTGTGAATCTGCAGCTGTCCCACCCAGACCCAGGACCTGGGGGCCTTTCTGTTGCAACGTCTGCTGGGGACACCACTGAAAGGAGGCTCTGAGCTCAGCCCACAGGGCTGGCTGAGGGCCACTCATGGGGCCAGCTCCTGGGTGGTCTCTAAGACAGGCTTCCCACTGAGCTCTGGGAGCCGAGCTCCGGCCACCTCTCAGTGATGGATGCGGACAATCACGTCCTGTCTGCCGTCTGGCCTGACCTCATCGGCCCGTGGGAGCTCTAAGTGCAGACAGTGCCGGTTCTTGGCAATGGCCAGGCTCCTCTCCTGATTCTGATGGATTCCAGGGCTGGAGGACACAACCGGGCTCTCAGAGGAACCAGGGCCACCCCTGTGTGGACCTAGCACCCCATGCCCAGGTCTGCTCTCAACAGCCACAGGGAGCAAAAGAGCTTGGATCAGCCCCAGCTGTGTGGCTGTAGGTGGCGATACGTCGTTCTTTAAGAAATATCGCGGACGGCTTATTTTGTGTGGGGTAAACCACATATGGTCCCTGCTGCTTTCCAAGTTCTTAAGGGGCAATGGGGAGTTAGGGATGCTTTAAGATCACCCTCTCACTCAGCATCCCAAGCCTTTAGGACAACGTGGAATTGCCCCTCTGAGACCTCCTGCCGGGAGTAGCGAGCTTGGTCTTTGACCTGCAGCGCAGCTGCTGGTTTTGAACTGCTGACCTTGTGGTTCACAGCCCAGCCCGTAACCCACTGCACCACGGGGTGCCTTGCCTTGAGCGCAGGGAGGTGATGGCGGCCCTGGGCTGAGGGAGATGAGCCCCGTTAGGAGAAAGCAACCTCCCTCTAACGGGTGCTAGCATGTGGTGTGCTTACTGGGTGCTAGACACCCCTGCAAGCACCTGGCGCCTCGTGACTCATTCAATCCGCAGTCTCCCTAGGTGCTACCAGTGTCCCCTGTACAGACGGCGAGGCTGAGGCGCGGAGGTGACAGGCCTGCAGAGCCCAAGCTCTCGCCGCGACGTGACGCTGCCTCTCCCGGGGTCAGACGGAAGGCCTGAGCGGGGCTGCGGCTGGAGGGATGAGAGTGACGCAAAGACTACGCCTCTGCGTCTGGAGGGCTCTGCCAGGTGAAGCCCTCGGCCTGGCACACGGAAGGACTATCGCTCCGACCAACCACGGCACTGCTCTGGGCCATCAGCCCCAGCAGGCCAGCGTCTTTCCACGGCTCCCCCACCTCCTCCTCCACACACACACTTTCCAGTTCTTTCTCCCTTTGATTGACTTCCAGGTTTAGTTATGTGGGGAGCCCTGCTGGCCTCCTGGGCTGCTAACCACACGGTCAGCGGTTTGAAACCACCAGCCCCCCAGCAGTGGGAAAGAGGCGGCTTTCTGTACCTGTGAAGACTGGCAGTCCCAGAAGCCCACAGGGGCAGTTCTATCCTATAGGGTCGCTAGGAGTTGGCAGGGAATTTTACTTAAATAAGGAAGAAGGCCTCCCTGAGGTGCTGACCCTCCAGCTTCCGCCCCTTTCACAGAGGGTGGGCTGGGAGCAACCAGATGCTGGTGGGAACAGGGGAAAACGGTTCCTGGGGCAGGGGCTGGGGCAAGGGCAGGGGC